TTTGTTAAATTACGCCAATTGGTGTATTGCTCATGCTGGTTAGATTTTTTACTCTGCACACAAATGTCCTTCAACAGGAATCTTGCTTAATATTTCGTTTTCTATCTTTCCAATCGTACTTGCTGCTAGATTGATCAAACAGTCCAGTTGATTGATTGAACGTTTTTCCGCGAGTCTCTGATGAATCATTTAGAATCTCAAGTTTATCTTTTCTGCAGTCTTTGGGTTAATTATGTGTTATGGAAAGGACGTAACAAGAGTGTCGATGGTTTTACGATTCATAAATCGCGCGGGGAGGAAAATGATGAAGCAGCCTCTGGTGCCTGAGGCCTTGTAGAAAGTTGACGCTGCTCGGTTTTGCGGTTCGAAATCGTGCTAAAGGTCGGCATCGTTTCGATCATATGCGACCAACTGCAAAACTCGTTCGATCGACTCCACATTTTTCATCGATATTACGTCTAACGATCACCTGTCGTCCATTTGTGACGATTAAATTGCGAGACAAGGTCCGAATTGTAAGAAAATTATCGAGTAGAACGTGTCGAATATTTATTTTCTCGATATCTATTAGGTGGTCGCAGTAATTTTTAGATAAGATTTAAGCCCGCTTATATTTTTTCAAATTTTGAAATAATTTGTGTTGGTGAAAATTCGTAAAACTTGAGTACATTCAATATTAAAAAGAAATATTCAGTAATATAGTACCTACTGATGAAAACATAAGTTTTATTTTGGAACATATAATTAATTAATTAGTCTTTTGATAGGGAAAAGTTATCAAATAATTCATTAAGTATGTCTTTATTTCAAATTGAGTTTTACACAATAATATTATATCAATATTATTATAATAAATAATAATAAAAGTACCTGAAAATAAAGTAATTCTATTCTTGAAGAAAAACTGCACGTTCTAGTAGTATTCAACTACTTTTAACAATATTGTTATATTATTATAAAAAAAAAAATATAATAATCCAATATTTAATTCGGAAACTCTCAGCAAGTGATCAACCTATTTTTCGTGAAATTCGAAAGTGAAACACCGGATGAGGAAGTAAACCGATTTAGAAGAACAAATAAATAGCATCACTAATATTCAGATAGCGTAGTTATCAGATAAAACAGGATTTTTAGAGAAGATCTACGATGTATACATATTTATAAATTGTATGGCAAAATCTGCCGAAAACTTTCTTGCGGAACACGGATGCAGAGGAACACACGTGAAAGGATCCGCTGGATCGTCTTACGGGGCCAACCAGAACCACACCCTACGATTTTCGAACCAGTTTTTTTAGGTCGCTTCTACATGTATCAACGTTTGTTGCTTGTTCTCGATACGAAGCACAAAATTTAGTATGCCACTCTTATTTTTTTTTTGCTTTTTATCTTACGTAACTCGCTTACTGTTTGCCCAATCATCAGGTTAATCCTATCATCCACGATTCCCCAATTTATTCGAAACACTCTCGTGCATCATAGGGATACTATCATCGTTTGATGGAAGCGCCGATTTAAGTGAAATCGCTTCGGTTCACGAAGTCAAACGACGCGGAAAATCACTAATAACCCTATGAATAATTCACAGCCCTTAATCAAGCTGCTGCCGTTAGATTCGAGGCTGGCTCGGTGATGATCGGTTCTTCTAACATCGCGTGATCGATTATCTCGTAGCCGGTAGACTGATAATCTAGGACGGTTCACGGCGAAAGTAGATTTTCGATGGAAACCAAGATGCGAGCTTGGAGGTTGAAACTCTGTCGAAATCCAAGGACAGTGCGCTAGGATATTGGTGACATTATTCCGGTGACAGGGATTTTATTCTCCTTGAATGACGTTGACGTTGAACATTGAAATTTATGATACGCGGATGTTTTTTTATCGCTGAAATTCCGATTTAAGAGTAAACTTTCAGTTTTCGAAGTTTGTAGAAATTTCGCGTTGGATCAATTACGATTGCAAAATTATTACACATCATGTTGCATGATCCTAATCGCAGGAGATGTGCTCGAAATTACCACTGACGATCCTCCGATCGAAGATTTCTTTAATTAACAAGAATCCTAGCTCGTGACTTTAAATTACACGAATTAACAGGCAATTTGTAATTACATAGAGATGTTAGTAATGTTGCAAGGATCTTCGTTCCATTTGAGTAAAAATGTTGAAGATAAAAAGGAGATAATTGAAGGAGGCTCGTTAGAAATTAAAGGAACTGTAGTTTGATTCCATTCGAGTTTCACTTTTCTAGAAGAAGCACGAGATAACATGTAATGATAGGGAATTGTCTGATTTTGTTGCACATATTCCGGTACAGTGTTCATCACTATGAATATATAAATACATACGTATACTATTATTCATATTTCTGACTTTTATACTAAATCTTATAATATTTAATAACTAAAAATCATATTGATTTCTTTCTAAATTATTTCTAATATTAGTATCTTCAAAAGTAAAATTTTGGGAAATCCTGCTTTTCCTATATCATCATTTCCCGTAGGGAAGCCTACTTTGCTCGATTAATTGACTGTATAAATGCAACTAGAACATTGCATATTTTACAAGGTATATAATACTATATCGACCTTGGATAATGGAATAAGGTTGTCCATTTCGGTATCGACGCGAACGTAATGCAACTGCACACTGGAAGGTACCTGATAACTTTTCAACGACTCGATAACAATCTCGGTTGGAAGGTATTGAGTTAACCTCTCACTGTTGCCAGCCAGATGCACTTTTCAACGAATATGCACTGCTGTGCAGCATTCGATTTGCAACGTGTTTCCAGCCAACTTGTGGCAAATGGAGGAAAGCGTTGTTCAAAGTCGTTTCGAAATCAAATGAGAAGGTAATTGCAATGTAGGAAGTTTCATTAATGTCCCTGCGATATTCACGGAGTTAATTTTCCTACGCGTTATGCGATTTTTTTAAAATTGAAAACTAATACTCTGAAGACGTTGTGCAACTTTGTCATTACTGAACTCGAATTTGCATTCGACTAATTGGTAGAAACAATACAGGAACTGATTTTACGGGTTCTTGAGACCTATGATTCATTTTTTTTTTAACTTCAGCGAAAAAGAATTAACTGATCGTTGAATTGAAAGTTTTTCCATTAAGATTTTTATAATCGGGAAATAAGAATTCGTTTGTAAAACTTTTCGATTACCTTGAAATCATTTTTATTTTCTCAAGTACTTTCATGAATTTTCTAAATTACTTAACATATATCGGTTCAACAAAAATATCTTTACCTGGTCACTTTTATACCTTCGAAACAACATTCTTAGCAGAAGTTTGTCAGCCATGAAACGTGGATTTCAACCAGAACTCGAATAACCACTTAACACATTCACAATATTTGAATGGCAGTTGCTGAAACGAGTAGCCAAAGTTGCTTCAATGTTAATACTAATCAGAAACAACCGACATTTATCGATAAAAAATTGCAAACGTGTGATGTAACGCGAGCAAGAGGAATCAATTATAGGTTACAAGGCTCATCCAGCGAAAGTGCATTCACCTCCAGAGTCGTTTTTCTTTTTATCAGTGCAGCGAATGAGAAAACACCTTTCACGATAGAGAATCCTCTGGAAAGCTCTTCTTCCATTACATACACTCTCTCCTAGGAAAAGAGTACGGACTGGACACGATGTTTTCTATTTCGTTCTGCTTGATTTCCATCGACAGCGGGCAAAAGTGTCGGGAAAAACAGCCTTCTCCACTTTGGAAACGGCCCAACGGAGACGTATTTTGTTGCAGGCCCGTTCGCAAACGGTTAAAACTGAAACGCTTAAGGCTCGCCGTAGTTTGGCTGCATGCTTGACTAGGTAACGTGACGTGAAACACCGACTTTTACTTTCCGTGGCGATTCTACGTGTGTCTTGGACAGATAAGGAGAAACGAAACTGGAACGCCAAGGCGTGCTAGCCGAGTCCGTTGCTCTTATTATGCTGAAAATGTTCTTAGGTAAATACGACCACCTCTTGACCCGTTCACCGGCTTCGTGCCCGTTCAACAATCGGCCAAACGGAAGGAGTTTACTCGTTAGGGCAAGTGTCGTTCAGCTGGCAAAAAGGTTACGACCTTTAGGTCCCATTTGACCCGGTGTCTTTCCAATGCTTTCCCGGATAAAAGTCTTTTAGTAATGTAGGCTGCACTTTCTTTGTTTCAATGTCGTTAGTGGGTGACCAACAAGTGAAATTATCTCGCTAAGTATAGTTTCTTATCAGGATTATGACTTCGGCTTTCATGCAATTTCACAAGTTGCCATTTTTCAGACTAATTGATTAATTGACTAGTTCGTGATCCAAAGCGGTTATCGGTGAAATTATGGGTTTATTTATACCGTCGTTTAGCATCGATGTTCACGGAAGACTGTAATCATAAGATGAGTACCGGTTACCTGATTTAATGACGGAACAACGTTTAGTTATCTCCATTAGCTGTGTTGTCAACGATGACCAATTTTCAAACTTGTTACCTATATTTAAGCTAATCGCATGTCTCATGAATAATTCCTCGTTCGACATTTTTCCCTTGCAATTTCATAAGATGCAACGAGTTAGTTGGGTTCATAGTTGAATCAACCTTTAACTGTTAACATTACCTGGAAATCCATCATCTGGTAACAAATTAATTTCGTTCCATCCATCTTAGAATTCTCAGAATACACGTTCCATTATATCAATTATGATACAGTTTCCTTGCTCTAATTACACTGAATTAATGCCTCACCTGTAATACGCCACAGGTGTGTTTCTTCGATGATGACGCTGGACGTCTTCGTAACTCTTACGAAACAACTATCGGTTTCATTTGCGTGCTGAAAACTCTGATGCAAATCTGTTCTCCCTCGTAATTGTCGCGTTATCGTTTAATTATGGAAATAGGTAACGAGAATCGTTTCGTTCGAATGCACCTTGAATCGTGTCAGACGAATAAATTACCTCAAGTGTAATGAGACGCTTTCGTGTTGCAAATTTTAGGTCGATGATCAGAAAACCGCGAGTCGTGGTAGTCTGAGGTATAACACTAAGTCGTTGGAAGAATCTACAACTGTATCGTCGTTTTCGAGATCGAGATCGAGCCAAGACAGAAAAAAGTTCTCGAATCTTGAAAGATACCACGAGGAAACAACCCTGAGATCTCCGGTCGATTCAGATTCGGTATTCGACTCGGTGAGAACCTCTTCGGAGGCATCAGTGAAAAGAAGAGATGGTAAAAGATATTCTCCAGAAAGGACGAAATCAAAGGACAACGAGAATGAGACGTCCAAAGTTATTTCGCGAAGAGTATCAAACGGGAGGGTCAGTGACCCTGCAGTTACCGAGAGGTTGGACAACAAAGGACCCTCGGTTTTCGCGATAACCACCGAATCGTCGAGATCCAGGACCGGAAGGAAGATCCAGACAACTTACTCGACGAAAGATCTCAAGACGCAGATACCTACCTCGAGGAGATACAATAATAAGAAGGCGGAGAACACCGAGACGACTACAGCCTCGTTTAGAAGAGAAGGAAAAGGTAGATCTACGACGGAACGTATTGAAAGAAGCACCAGGTCTGGCAGATCGAAGGTAAATAACAGGGAGAACAATTCCATCAGTCGCAAAGGTCAAGAAGCAGCTTTATTCGAGTCCGAGAGTGTCAGGGTCGACATTCCTTTAGCGGTGGAGGGAACAGAGAATCCATCTGCAGACGTTGTTACAACTAGTGGCTTTAGTGTTGTTTCTCAGAGAAGATCAGACACAAAGGAGACACTCAGGGGTAACGCAAGGACTGGAGTCGAAAGATCGAAGGGTAGAGGTCGATCAAACGATTCTGAAGTTGCTGGGTCTTCGAGGAACAGTTCTCGAAGAGGATCCTCCAAGTTCAACGATTTTTCGACCACGGAAGCTAACGAACAGATCGTTAGCTCGAGGAAGAACACGGCCAGAGATCGTTCGAAGAGTTTGGAATCTAGAAAAAATGCTGCCAGTGAATCAAGATCGAGATCTAGGGGTAGAGGCTCTGAAAATAATGCGAGGAACGGTTCTAATGGCGTTCTGGAGCGAGATGCTAAACGTAAAGCAGTTGGAGACAGAAAATCTTTGGACAGAAGGTCCAGGCTCTCCGAGACCACCCCCAGGTCCGCGGAAAATAGGGGACAGGATCAAGATTCCAGGAGATCCAGAAACAGAGCCAGACCGGATGCTACAACGATTTTGACTACGGGTGAGTTGAGAAGCTTCTTGTTTTCGATTTGATTTTTTTAACTTTTTCGTTTTGTATGCAGATGTTACCACAACTATTGCGCCAGATACAACAGTTTTCGCCGACGTAACCTCCGAGTCCGAAATGACGAGCATCACCATGAGACCAGCGACTCCAGTTGCGAGCACCACGAGTTCAAGACCCACCACGACCACCAGACCATTCTCGAGCACAACCTCGACGACCGAGGGATCAGGAAGAGGCAGAGGAAGAGGCAGAGGCAGTAGCCAAGGAAGAAAGCAGCAGAAGGAAGATTTCTTTAATCATGGACTGGGATTTAGGGGTAGAAAGCCTTCCCTTGAAGGAGCATCGAACACTAGAGAGTCTAAAAAACCTTCCGCGCCGAAAAATGATTCCCAGTATCATGGAAATTTTGGCTGGACTCTTAGAAGACGACCTCCTAACGCCAATTATTCTGATAACCTCCCGAAGGCTATTCCTCCCACAAGGGATCAGACGAACGAGGTGATTCCTCCGAATGAACTATCGACCAGCACCGAAGTCGTAACAACGGTGGAAAGTTCCACGTCTACCTTGAGAAGAGGCTTCAAAAAGCTCCAGACTACCGAGGAAAGCACCACAGAGGCGGACGCGGCGACGAAGGGTTACAGAAGAGGTAGCAAGACATTTGGACCTGGCAAGGCGAGCGACCATGAAGAGAGTGACAATTATCCTCCCGAGTTTAAGGCGAGATTGACTCAGTTGGTGAGTTTAGTACTGTGATTTTAGTGAATTTTCAGTTTCTAAGGGGAATTGGTAAAAGAATTTTATTACTGATAGATAATTTTGAATTCGTTTATTGATACAATAATATAGATTATTGAGGATATCGAGGATTAATTGAAGATACGAGTGGATAAAGATTTTATGTCACAAATTGATCTAAAGGTTTCTAATTGGAACTTTAATATATTATCCGATCTGACTCGAATGATGCAGACCCGTTCCGAGTATGGGGTACCTGAAATTATTGGGTTCTCGCACACCTCCAGTAAAAGGATATAAAGCCACTCTATGAATATTATAATAATAAAACCAGTTTTTTTTTAAATTTCACATGGCACCATTATCCACTTGTGTCTTTAATCATTGTACCAATACTTTTCATAATATAAAAATTGTTTTCTATCGCAATGTCGCCAATAACGGCACCAATAAAATTACACATTCTAATTGAAAAGTATGATTTCAGAAGACTACGAATACGAAAATACCAGCCCCGAAAACTACCTCTAGAACGCCATTGGAGGTAAGAGTTCCGTGTGTCCTAGAAATCAGCTTACAGCATCCAATCAAACGTGTCTCTCTTTATCTCTGATTAATAAGTGTAACATATTTTTCTGTGCTTCCATTCTAGTTCAACAATCTCCAAGCTTTTACGTTCGAACAGTACTTAATACATAGACGTAACACCATTGACGTTGACTTCGTGAATGTGAAATAGAACAACTAAACAAATTTACATAACACGATTGACAATTTAAGGAATACACACCTTGTATATATATATATATGTATTTCTAACACGAAACAATTTAATCAGCATGCACGTAACAGAACACATACGTACAATGGTTCCCTTTCTAGCTGACAATTATCCAGACGTTATTCAGACTCGAAAGAGTTGCTTGAACTTTTCATAGAGTCAGTTCCAAACGGTTTTACGAAACAGAAACTGAAAGCATTTTCATATAGCGTTCAGGTGTATAGTACTTTCTATTTTGAAATCGAAACGATTCGTGTAGGATCAGCCGAAGAATACCTTTGGTCGACGCTCGAGAAACAACTCGAGGACAATCGAGGACCTCGAATACGCAGCTTCAAGGGATCTTGTATTCAAGGATCAAAATTTTATTGACAATCCGTTCGCTTTGATAAATGGCAGAGGATTGCGACGCGTAAGAGTACAATCTTTGCATTACGTGATCGCTTTTTTTTTATGTTCTTTCATCGTAGAGCCTTCCTCGAGCTTTCGCGTGAAATTCTTCAGATCTTACTAGCAGCTTTTTACATTTCAATAGGACATACGATACGTAATTGAAAAAATAGAATCAGTGAAAAGTAAATAAAAATTAAAGGTTGAGGTAGAGACTAGAAGTTACGGATTGCTTTCGATCATCATTGACGACCAATCGAGACTGGACAATGATGCGGGATTAACCAATTAAAAAAGAAAAACAGCGACAGAAAGACAAGCTTGTTCTGGTGGTTGGTGAGACATCGTTCGAAAGACGAATTTTTGTATCATCGATGATATCGTCTAATCTCCAAACAGGACTGGATCGAACGATATCCTAACACGAATCCTCGACGAGGAGTTCTCTCAAGGTCCGTGTAACGAGGAAAATTTGTCCTTTCTTTCGTTTATCGAGCGGATTTCACTCGTACGTGTTAAGAGGATATTACGCAGTTCGTAAACTGGTTCTCAGTTTTCGTCCAGTTGCTTTCGTTTTGGAATCCCAGCGGAGAAAGCGAAGGTTTGTTTGACGTACCTGAATATAATGCGTTCTGATTTGTTCCCCACGGGTAGCCCGATCGATCTAGTTCGATTTTATCCCTCGAAAGAGATTCACGAAATAAATGACTGTACGTTTATTCCACCGGTGTTGAACTTTCTAAATTTTCAACCTGACGATACCATAAGGAAACAGCTTTTCCTTTGTCGGATCGAACGTTCAGGATTAGATCGTTTTATTAAAAGGAACATAAGGAAAAAAATTGAACACGATGGAAAGTGATTTGCCGCAATGTTTCGTATCGAGGACGACACATTCACTCTCTGTTCCGGATTGCCTGGAAATGAACGGTTTTCTAGCTTGCAATTACACGAGATTGATTTTGTGGTAAGAGCCCTTTGTCTTTGGATGAGAAACTGGAAACATTGCACAAAATTGACTGTAACGAATTATTACGATACAGAGCGATTTCACAAATATCGAGTTCAATAATCTCGAGACCTTATCACTGGGAAGTAATAGAGCAGAAAAAAATGAGACCGAAAATCACCTCTTCACCGCAGCTAATCGCTTGACCGACGCTTTTTAAAGGATTGTCCAATAAATACATGTATTGTGTTTCTTCACAGTAGAGTAATTTTTGTAGCATACAATTAATTAACCGTCCGATCAGACACGTAGTATACCAGTGTCAATTCCGACCCCACTTGAAGGTAGACTTACTCAATGTACACGTGCATTGTGCTGGAAATTCTGAGATTTCATCAGTCATCTGGTGGTGGGGTCCGAATTGGCCGAAATTGTTTAGCGGACGGTTAAGAGTAGTTTGGTTTAGCAGATTCAGGCTTGTCAGGTCGAATTAGTCATCGACTCGTTGGATCGTTCACTCTAGGTCGTTGTCACGCCTTTCTTCCTCTCGCACATCTCCCGATCGCTCAATCGCCTGATAACAGTGATTAAACGTTTCAGTTGTTGTCCGGTACAGTGAAATCGTGGCTGGAGCTCGTTACGAGCCAAATGGCAGCCTGGATCGTCTCGTTTCTACGCTTCCTCAGGCTTCTATTCTTCATATAGGATAAAATCGACCTCCCCCTAATCGAACTATTCTTTCCCCGACGTGTCGCGAGTGTAAGCTTTCCGAGCGACCTTGAGAACGTCTCCCGTCGACGGGAACCTCGTCGAGAACGTGGCACACTAACAGAATCTCCGCTCGAGCTTCCGGAGCCGGCTTTACTCTCGACAGCGGTTATCCACTATCTTAAAACGGGGCTGTTTCAACGAACCTTTCAGGTGAAGAGATCTTCGGCCGCACTGTTCGCCGAACGATCGAGGATGAAGCTGGAACTGGCTAGGAGGTTAGTGAAGCCAGAGTTGAACATCGAGGAGAATGATCTCGACGCAACCACGGCCTCCTCTTTCAGCAAACCGAAGCCAACCGTGCTGTCAACGGTCGACGAGACGAGCAAGGTCACCAAATTCGTTAAACCCTCCCAGACTTCTCGTAGAAGCTCCACGGAAAAGAGGTCCAAGGAAAACGAGAAAGCGTCGAAAGTTTCCGCATCGAGGTCAACCGTCGAGGATTCTTCCTCTAGACTGGCTAGACCGAACTCGAAGAAAGGACGAATCATCTCGGAGAGAATGGTCACCTCGATCTCGGTGGAGGAGAGGGCTGCCATCGAAGACACCACGAAGCCATACGCGTCCACCGTTCACTCCGTCGTAACTTCAGCCTCCGCAGAAGAGGGATCAGCTACCACCATCGACTCCACCAGGATCCGCTTGTCCAATTTTCGAAACGGAAAGAAATCCAAGGAAGAGAACTCGACGAACAAGAGACGCATAGAAAACCATGACACCATTACCACTTTCAAGCCGAAGAAACCTTATGCTTATCAACCACGCGGTACCAAATTGCAAGAACAATCTACTACCCCTGTACAGACTCCCGTAGCGTCGTCTAAAAAGACCTATGCCTCTCCAAAGTACAACGGAGGGCAAAGGAAGTCGCAGACCTCTCAGGAAGAGGATACTGATCAAAGGATCAAGTCCACCGGTGTTACCAAACCCACCTTCAGACCCCGTTACAGCAAAAGAACGAAGCAGAAGTCGATCGAGAATAAAGCAACGGATTTCGAAGCGACGATTACCACGAAGGTACCCATAGCTACCAGTAGATACTCCAGGAAGAAGGCTGTAGTGAAGGCTACAGAGGCTAAGTCGAAAGCCACCACGGAAGGAACAGCAACGCAGACGAAGAAGCTGGAGTTTCGACCTAGAACCGCGACCTATAGAAGGCACTCCGAAGTTCCCACGACCTTGGTAGAAGTCAGTACCAAGGTCGACGGTACCAGAGTCGCCATCACTCCCAGATCCACCAAGTTCCCCGCGACGTTGAAGTCGACAGAGAGCACTCGATCGGTAGGGCAGGAACCGCAGGTGAACCTGAAGATCGCGAACGACACGACGCAAGATGGATCCGGTATTACAGGCAGCAGCAATGGCGACAGCGGCAACACGAATATCTTCAGTCCGACCAGAAGCACCATTCTAAGCGGGAACAACACGCTGCTGGAACAACTCCGAAGCACGGTTGCTCCGCTTCTCAACTCGCTCGGTAACAAGACTCCTGTGTTCTCTGGATCATACAGCAACGTTAACAATGCGGTAAATATTTTTAATTGTTTTTAATCTTTTATTAGTTGACTGTTTTATGCGGTGATAGAATTAATGAACGAAGAAAGAAAAGTCTGAATTCTTGTTGATCAATATATCATGTTCTTTCAATTTTAATTAACTTTCGTTAGCTTTAATGCATAGTATTTTAAAATGGACATAATGTCGTTTGTAAACAGAACTCACCTCCCAGAATCACGCCAAATGGATCGCCGCCACGATTTAGCGCGAGATACAAAGGTGCGGAATTGTTTGTCAAGAAACAAAATAATGTTTATCAGCCCACTGTGCCATCGATCACTAGCTCCTCCACTACACCAGCCACAACTGTAGAGGTAAGATTGTTTAAATATTTCAATTAAAATTGAACATTCGATTCACTCGCTATCATGATACATTCGTACCTAACTAACCGAATCAAATTCAAGTCCATTATGTTTCCACTCGATTACGTTTTATCGAGTTCCCCGAACCAAGGTAATGTAAAAATGTAATTTCAAACAAATTACCGACCTTTTCATCGTTCTCGTTCTAAGAAAGAAAGTCGTAAAATATTAAAAAGAAAAATAATGATGAAATGTCGTATGCGAAAGAGATGGATCGTGACGATGATTACCGAGGTAAGATTACGTGGCAGAAGAAAGTCGTAGCTGATTAACAGTGAGTCAGTGTGGTCGTTTTTTGTGTGCTTAAAAGGTTTTCACCACGAAGATAACCGAGGAGATCGAAGCTGTCGCACCACCATCGTGGACCAATCACATTGGTATCATCACAACTCCATCAGGAAATCTCGATCCTATCGGCATCGATACAAATAATCTTCGTTGAACTAATCATTGCAATTGTATTTTATCCGATGCGCCACTAATTATACCAATCATCTGTCTCTTCCATAGGATCGTCATACTTAGTTTATTATTTTTTTAATATTCACCAGTGTTGTACAAAATTCGCCATGTAGATATACTATCTTTTATAATTAAATTAGAAAAAAAAGGATTAAAAGTAATAGAAAAAAAATTAATAAAAAAAGTATAGTTACTAATTTGTGATTAACGATAACGCCTATTTTTCTTATGGTACTCGTTTAGTTTTGGGTTTACAAGTACTAATACGTACACATAATGCATACATTGTGTTATATAGAATTATACAAATATATATACAATATATATTTTTGGTAATAAATGTACTGGTTCTTGGTTCGCACGCGATACGCAGTTATTCGTTCTTGATTAACGTTAGATCGTTAATAAATATTAAGTTTAACTAACTTAGTTCCGATCTAAATATCTTACAAATGACGAAAGTTCTTCTTGTAACATTAATTGAATAAAATCTTCCAAATAGCTTCGAATCTTCGCTTATTCTTTAATTTAAAACTTTTCAGAAACTGTAATGCCCGTTCCAAATACGTAATAGCTGTGTTATTCAGTTCTGTTTTGTTGAATTCACACGCTTCAGAAAATTGAATAAACGTAACGTAATTGTGCTCGAACGAAATTAATGTTTCATTTGAATTCGACGTAACTGGACTTTACTTTCTAATACGAACGCATTCCGATTACGTGGGTAGATTTTTCGTGATCCGTCCATTTCGCGGCATTCGAGGCGGTAACGAGTGAAAGTAAATGGATGCTGCATAATGTGCATACTTCAAAAGTGTCTTAAACAGATCGTATCTGGTACACGTGGGTGGATCGAAATCATTCTAAAAAGTAAAAGAAGTGACGAATTCACTTTTCCTCCGCACAGCCTCGAACCCTCTCGATCAAAGTTTTCAACCATTCTTGTTACTGTTCACTCAACATACATTTTCCTCTCGTTCAGATACAATGTTGTTAGAGACATATCGCTGGAGACCTCTGTGAGAGAAGATTAACAGCTGCGAGAAACAGCGATTAAAAAGAAAAAAAATCAAAGTGAACGGGCAACCAGTCTCCATCGCCTATATCAGCGATCCGTTGCTCAAAGAACGAGTTTCCAGCTCGCTAATACGCCTGTTCGTTAGCGTATTAGAGCAACCTCAGTTTCTCCTCTTCCTTGGATAGTTCGTATCTCCACCAAGAGATGGTGTATACTCCTTCAATTATATGATCAATTAATCATCCAAGAATATAGATCAAATTAAAAATTGTTATCAAGAACGAACACCGCGTATATCGTGTCCTTAGTGTAAATACATTGATCATCTATGATTGTACATAGAGTCGTTCCTCTAGGATCACCCGGCACAATTGTTCAATATATGTACAGCACCCCTGCACGCACTAAATTTCTGTTTCTAGAACTCTGGTTCGGCACCGCCTATCGATGTCTCGAGTCCCGGCGAGCCAAGGTTGTTGACTCTTTATCAGGCGTTGGAATCGGCCAACATCAGGAACGAACAATTACAGAGGAACGCGAACGAACAAGCCGACAGGGTTCTCCAGGTAGACTCTAACGCCACTGTCGCTAACGACATCAGCAGTAATTCTAACAATGACACCACAAGCCCCTCCGTAGCGACCACCAGCCCACAGACCCCAGACACCATCGCGAACACTACTCTGACCCCGAGATTATCCGAGGATACGGAGAACACCACCCCCGCGGTTACCACAGGAGCCCCTGAAACCCCTGCGACCACCGAACAAGTCACCACAATTACCGAACAATCCACTATCACCGAACAAGCTTCCACCAGTACAGAATCGTCCTCCAGTACCGAGCAAGCCTCCATGAACGCTGATTTGATGTCTCTGACTGAGCAAACCAGCACGGATGCAACCACCACGACAGCTGGAGGTTTGGAAAGGAGTCAGGTATCCTCGATGATGACTACCATGGAGGCTTCTACGACGGCAGCCTCCACGGCTGATGGAAGCACACCAGGGGCGACCGAAGTCGCATCTACCACTCAAACGGGGCAAAGTACGATGGAGACTACCACTGTAGCTGCTGTTAGCGACGCTGCGATTATGAATACGTCCGAGAATCCAGAGAGCAATACCATACCTTTGTCTGAAACGACAGCCACTCAGTCGGTTGATTTAAGTTCAACTGATATTCCTACGACTGAGGCGATTTCTAATAATATGGTCGACGCGGAGACGACCACAGTAGTACCTACTACCACGTTTCGACCTAGATTGATAGATTTAGCGCAGGATATTCTGTCTCGTTTGCAAGCGTCTCTGAACGCGACCACGCAGTCCAGTCTAGACTCCACAATCACACCTCCTACGACTGAGATATCGAACGCGATACCAGATTCGAATAGTACCCTGGAGAGTCTGTCGCAGTTGAACGGAATAGGAACACCTGGGCCAGGAGAATTGTCAACTACCGGTGAAACTACCACCCCCAGTGCAGTAGGTTCAGTCCCTACTACGTCATCTGCCACCACAACCGACCCGTCCAACTCAATGGTATCTACCCAAGAAGCCAACACATTGGACGAATCAAGTCCAGTCACAACTACCACACCAGTAACACAACAAGATTTTCAAACAGTTTCGAACACTGATTCAACCACTGTAGGCGACTCGAACAGTTCCTCCAGCCCTCTGTTAGACGTTGAAGTAACCACCGGCTCGACGATTACCACCACGAACGATACTTTACTGACTGAATTAATGTCCATCGCCAAGACCCTCTTTTCGGAAGAGATAAACGACACCGAGACACCGGTTATCGTCCAAACTACCACCGTTGTTTCTGACGTAGAAAACTTAACGGGAAACGAGGTTGACCCATTGTCGAATGACACGTTAGGCGCAATTCAAGCCATAGAATCGTCGTCGATTTCGCCAGATGTCACGACAGAAACTGTACAGTCAACACCAACCACTGTAGCTATGTCAGACACTTCCACTGTTTCGGTCGATCCCTCGCAGAACGAGGTGGACTCAACAGATCCCACCGTGACCGTATCGTCTTCAGAAAGCTCGACAGACACACCCAGTACAACCCCTGAGAGTAACGTGTTCGACAACCAGCTGGATATCGCGCAAACGAACGACGCCACTACGTTAGGAACACCCCTCGCTGAGAACGTAGAGTCGACCACTACCCCCTCGGTTACGACAGACAACGAACGAACGACCCTCTCGAATGACGTATCGTCCAGGCTCGAAACTGGCCTCGACACGACGACTCAATCACCGACAACCACGCAAAGTTCAGAGACGACAGTCGCACTCACAGTTAATTTCGAATTAACCACTAACACGTTCGATTTGACATCGCCTGGTACGATAACTACAAGCCCTCCCAAAACGGCTTCTGAACAAATTACTGAGAACGTCACGGAAACCATGATGCCATTAACCAATCTCACGACTGTAACATCAGAGCTTGCAACCGACACTAGTACTAATCAACCTGAAGCAACTACGATTCCTGAAACAACCCTATCCACTGTAAATACGATCACTACCACGCCGTTAGCACTGTCTGAAATGATAGTTGAGCAAACTACCATGGTGTCCACTCCAGAGTCGATCCAAAGTGTAACCGACGTAACAACCACGTCACCAATCACAACCACAACCCGATTGGACGTTAATTCGATGGATGACACAGAGGTTACTACTAACCAGACCCCCACAATGGAAACCACTACTAATACGCCCAGCGAAACAACAAACATCCCCCAAACGACCCCAAGCCTCGAGAACGAAACTCCAACTGTTGTTGCCCCTTTCCAGGATACGACGTCAGCAACCGCCCAAGGGACGGCAGGTTCAGGAATGGGCCAAACGACCGAAATCACCACTCCCATGACCACTTTACCTTCGACCCCTCCGTCCTCGCAATCCTCCACTTCGCCCTCTCTCATGTCAACCACTTCATCTTCGGTCGAGACTACGACTACGACCGCGACGATGACTACGACGACCCAGACTACGACGAAAATCGGACGCATTCCCGAGCAGTTGTCAACGACACAGTCGACCAGCATGGGTGTAGTCACTGTCACGCCGATGCCCGAGACGACACTTCCAACCATGGTGACTAATGCCAATATAGAGGAGAATCTTGTTTCCACCGAAGCTGGGACGACGATGCAACCCTTAAGTACAAGAATGGACGGTGGGCAGGGTGCCATGAACGAGTCTACGACTGCTATTCCTACGAATGCTACCGAAGCAACGACCATGTCGATGCCAACAACTCCTGGAAGTTCGACGACCACCGCGCCTCCTATTCCAATTTCTCAGCCTCCCACGACGTCGTACAGTGGTCGATTCGGTGGATCCAGGCTGACGCCTGCCCCTCGGTTCAGCCCCAGCTCCAGCACCAGAGCTCCTCTACGAGACTACCTGGTCTACGGGATATATCCGAATAAAACGATCGTTAGGAAACGACCAGAGGACAACCTGATCGACGCGAGGAACGTGGACAGCCCGTACGTGATATTCGGTATCTTCCCGGATGGCAGGCTGGTCCGGAAATTCCCGAACGGAACGATTATACCGGATCCACCTAGGAGCCCCGTCGAGGTTGTGTTCTCACTTAGCACTACCACTACCACTAACAGGCCACTACCCAGACCGTATTATAACCAGGCTAACCAAGGCGTTTACAATCAGTATCAAGGCCCGGTGTACAGTAATATTCGTAGACCTGAGCCAATGAGAATCGTCCAAAGTCCCGGCACCGTTGACCTCGGCCTTACTGGTAACGCGATCGTCGGCCCCAATGGAGGTGGACCCGGTTTCACGGGGCCACTTGGTACCCCTGCTAGCCTCCCGAGCACCAACGAAATGGTATCTCTTATTCCACCTGTTCATCATCGATCGTTAGCCGTGCGAGAAAGATGCGCTCGAGAACCGTCTGTTCGATTCGATACTTTGCTTCTCTCAGCGATTGTGTCATTGTTGCATACCGTGACTTTGGGAAGCGCAGCAAAGTTTGGGAACATTTTGGCTAATCCTAGAATTTATAGTTCTTTTTATTTTTCAACATTTTCAATATTTAAATTTTTTTCATGGCTGTATATATGCAAATTGTTATTTTTTGTTAGTTTTAAATAATTATGTTTACAATGACACATTATACATATTTGCTTCTTTTTAACGCTTCGGTTTTGTTGAAGTAGAGTTTTTGGTTATATACTAATCTTTCAATTTCACAATTATTAATTTTTTGAAGATCATATATTTTTATTTATTGTTTCTTTTAGTTTCATTTCTTTTTGTTTTAAATTTATCAAATGCCTACTTTGTTATTTTTTGTCGCATGTTTCGTTATTTTCATGCACCGCGCACTTTGAAAATGCACTAAACATCTAATAAGAACTTGATGTACATATGTTTCATTAATAGTATTCGATAAACTCTTCAAGTTAGTATTCGACAAATACTTCACCTTCATTCATCATCATATCCCCATGATCGATTTAGCGTGGCCCATCGATTATAGCGAAAAGTTGATCGATTGTTCTTTACTTCTTTATATTAAAATTGATTTTTAAAAAATGATGGATATCCTAGGAAGCTTTGTTAAAAATTCAGAACCATCGATCGAACATTCGCTATTAAGTGATCTCACACATACATGAACGATGCAATTTTGTTTGGTAACGTTTGAAAAAAACTTGGAATAATGTGACGTTGTTTAGAGCAATGCCCTGATAAATACGCAAATGGGGACAGCGTCGGTAACGCCGATAGTAAGTACCGGTCGACCGGCGACCGATTCGCAGGGCGGTCGTATCGTCCAGGATCGAGAGAGGGACGAGGCCACCAGGACGAAAGAGGTCGGAGGTCAACGCAGCTCCGTGTACATCGGACAGGTAAGAAAGCAAGAGAGACAGAACATGATTTACAACGACGCTCTGGCTGATTCTTTCAGCGCTGCAACATATCTCTGCGAGAAAGAATGAAAAAAAAGAGCAATGTCGAATCTTTCAGGACAAGTTCGTCAATTATTGGACCGACGGCGCCTCTACCACTAACCCCCGTGTGCTGAACGTGAATATAAACTCGGTGGCTGTAAGTCGCGCTATCTACAAGAACCTCGTTAAAATCATTCTCTCTTCTTTTTAAATCAGTGTTTCCCAACCGATTTAGACTGCCGCGAACGAGGGTCCAGCGCCATCCGTACCGTCTTTCGAAAATCTATTGAACAATCAGCAGGGAGGAGGTCGAGTCACAGCACCGCCTGGATTCCCATGGAGGGATCCATTGGATCAAATTTTCGGTATTACTACCTCATCGCCGATAATAACAGCTTCAGTTGCATCGAACTCGCTGGTTAGTATTCGCTGGATGTTACCTTTTAAATAGAGTTGGCCGAAAACCCAATCCGACCCGACTCAACTCAAGTCGAACAATTCCAACTCGACCCAGCCCAATCCGACCCCATATTTTTGGGTTTTCGCATACCTCTACTTTTGAATCAGTGCTGGCCAAAATAAGATACAGGAAGTTTACCGCTTCCTTGTTTCAGGATGATTCGGCAGAATCAGGTAATCCAGCTCTACCGCGACCGATCAATCCGTTTGTCGAAGTCTTCACACCGTTTTCCAACACGATTGGTATGCCAGGAAGCAATGCAGGAGGTACCTCTGTTACTGGAGCAGTTCCTAGCACAACAGCAACAATGCCTACTACCCCTAGTACTACTACTGTGTCTACAACAACTACTACCATGGCACCAACTACTACTACTATGGCACCAACAACTACAACTACCACTACAGCAGCACCAACAACAACAACTACTACAATGGCTCCAACTACACCTTCACAGACTACGTCAACTGAACAAGTTGCAAATATTGGACCACAAGGAACAGCACCACCAACTCCTACAAGCACGTCTGTTCCTCTTCCATCAACGACTCCGTTGAATATACCGCCAAATTTGTTGACAAATATGCAACAGCAAAACGCATTTGGAACCTCGGTCAATGATTTGGTGTTCTTGAATTCATTGGTAAGTAAAATGTTTATTTTTAAAGTTCTATTAGTATGATGATTGTTATGTTATATTTTTGTATCGATTCGTATAGTTGCAGAGTAATTCGCGAAGTTCCACAACGAAAACGCTGACGCAAGTTGAGCAGCTGTTGGCTAACAAGGTAACCTTTTATAAATCAATAATTATCCAATTATTATTGGTAGCGCGAATAGCGATTAAACGCTGTATAAATAGAATTACTTTACGGTTAGTCACGCCTTTGTCAGAAAAATATAATAATGGATCTATGACGATCGTAATCACATTATCGGCCAGTCACGGTGAATGGACTACACCGACCTTACCAACGGCCTTTATTCTGCACAACAGTTCGTACGATATGTCATCTGTCCGTAATGAATGGATCGCGTTAATGTACCGGTGATAAATGAATTTGTACCTTTATCGAAAGATAAGAGTATGAATTGATTACCTCCAATCAATCGAGGAGTATCAATCTTCCCCGCTACCAAAGGGAAGACAGATGCAATGATCTTTTACAGAATAATATTAAAGTTTAATATTAATTCTAGATTTTATCCCTGGCACTGAATGGCCCTGACCCTGGACCAACTCGAGCGCCAAAGGCCATCAACTACGAGAACGCTTCTCCAAATTCGGTTTTCCAATCTCCAAAGCCATCTTACGAGCCAATAGTGATCGATTTATCCCCCTCGTCGACAGCAAAGACACCCGCATGGAAATCATTAGAGCAAACTAGTCAAAGACCATCACCGAGTAGTTCGACACCGACACAGATCACCTGGAATCCGGTCACAACCACCACCTCTAAAAGAGACATCATAACAAGCACGATATCCTCTTCAACAACAGATAAAACGACACTGATAAGCACGACTAAAGCTCCTGTAACTGTTTCAAGTAAACCAGTGACCACTCCTCGACCCAGAACCACCACCGAGGCGCCATTAGGCTTCGCTGGTCTTCTGTGGCAGACTCTTCTGGGTGGAGGAGGACTGTTCGGTCCTTCAACGACCCAGAGACCCGTCAAATCTAAACCGGTGAAAACTGTAACTAAGTCTGTGAACATCACGCCCAAACCACCTCAGACCACTCCAAGATCGGAAACAACCACAGTTCGTACTACTACGACCGTCAAATCTGTTGATATTTCCAAGATCTACGTGAACACTCCAAATTCGATCGTAGAAGGCGAGAAAAAGGCGACTACACCTCCTTCGTTGTCCACGACAAAAAAATCCTTGCTGAACAATCCTAAACCGAAATTGCCTAACGTTGCTACATCCACGTATTCCCCTGAAGAGGACACCAAGTTCCTGCTTTCGCTCCTGCAGGCTGTTCAACGGGGTAAGGAATAATTCTATGGAAGTTTAGTAAATTTAGAAACAGATGAGCTGTGTATATTAGTTGTTCCTGTTTCAGAGGAGAAAGCGAGTGGTTCGAAAAAATCACCGAGTGTATCTCAGGACGATGAAGCTTTCTTAAGAGCGATTTTAAGCGGACGACCTCTTACAACTACTCCTGCTCCACAGACGGAAATCAGCAATGCTGCCCTTTTGGCTGCATTGTTAAAAGCTCAAGGTATAGAACCGGAAACGCCTGCTACCAACATCAGAGAGCAACTGCAGTTGGCTGTGAGTATTTTCAGAATTGAAAATAAATAAATTGTTAATCGCAATTCTACGTGACTCGATTCGAAAATAATTCGAAAGCGCAACAGTACGATTCGAGAGGCGTTTAATCGAGCTCGCGATGGAAGAAAAAACGAACGGCGATAAAAGAAAATAATTGCTCGTCTTGTAACAGAGCCTCGGGCTGAGCGTCACCTCTGCTCCGACCGCATCCCCGGCTACCACTGAGTCTACGACAATTACAACAAGGCCGACTTCGACTGCAACTCGACCTACGGATACCACGAAAAACACGCTGACACCGAGACCAACCTCAAGACCAAGGATACGCACAACAACGTGGTCGCCGAGCTCCACGTATCCACCTCCTCTCTTTAGCTCCTTCTCCAATTACGCTACACCGGTACAGTCGGCCGCCGCTGACAATTCTGAAAATCGGGCGTTGTTTGGTGCTACCAGGGCGTTCAGTCAATTTCTTGGTGCTGCGTTAAGCGTAAGTTAGACTAATTCAGATTCCGAAATTACGGCTACCCGAACAAATTTATGTTCTGGACAAACTTCCGAGTTCCGACCCACCCGTTTGGATTCGAGACTCATCCGAGACCTAAATTTTTGGATATTCGCACACCTCTATTAATTATACAGTAATATAAAAGTTGTTCTAATATTCAAACGTTTCTTTGTTTCAGGGAGCGGCACAACAATTGCAATCCTTAGTGAGGAATGGTACTAGGATCGTGTCCGAAGTAGTTGGATAAAATTAGCAGAAAATAATGAAAATTGACCCGTAGAATAATAAAAATGAAATTTGGCAGGAGTGAAAATCTGTTACTTCGAAGGAGCTGGTGGTAGCGATGCTTCGACTAAGTATTCCTTTAGATTATTCATTAAAACTCTGAGATTTCTAACAAATTTAATCGACAGGTTATCGATGTTGCTGAGAAACTTCTCGAAATTTTCTCCTCTTTTTTTTATGTATAGATTCGTAGAATTACGTATAATAGCTGTTGGGTGATTACGTGTTCTATTTTTAATCAATTTAGGTGATAAAGAGAGCGATGACGAAACTATTGAAAAAAGAGTATCGGCTGGACGCCTTGCAAACGTTTCTCAGGTAGGAGCGGGCGACGGCTCGTACCTCTTTGAAACATTTGTAACGTTGGTCGCAATTAAGGTAATTAATCGAGGACGACGCGGCTCGTCACGACTCTCTGGACAGTGACGATCCGTGGTGTCCCGTGCGAAAGAGGGCGGTTTCAGGCCCACCCACAATGATTGATTCGACGACCTCTCGTTGGCTGCAAGAAGCTGGTAATTTATGAAACAGGGAGAGAATGAGAAAGAATGCGTGCATAGGTGAATGTGTGTAGAGAAAGACATGGTTCAAAGGGTGGATAACGAACGCGTCAAGGGAGTATTCTGTACAGTTATATATTTTTTTTCTTTTTTATATGATAAAACTGGAAACGTGCATAATTGCACGATTCTTGGGTCTTGTTTATCTCCTTCGAGGAAAAACGTTATTGTTGACTTTTGTTTCACGAAAGTGTGTCTCGATTCTTTTGTAAATCCGTTCTTATTTTTTAATCGTGGGATCGACCAAATGTCCTTTGTAAACGAACGATAAATAAACATTTCGGGAAATGTAGACCCAGAAAATAGTTGTGTCTCCTTTAGATTAAATCCTTTTTTCATTCACCATTCGAGAACGGATCGAGGAGAAAAAAAATAAAACACGAGATGGTTAAATTGTACGCGACTTCTTTCTCGTTTTCTTCCTTTCTTTCTTGTATACCTCGCATTCCCCTTTCCCGCAAGAACAACCGTGAAGATCGGTCCGGAATATGAATCATTCGCTGTGTCGTATTTAACAGTCATTAGGGACAGCTGACTAGACACGATGTAAAGTTGAAAGTGACGCACCAACAGAAATAATAAATAATTCCTAAGGATTACATCGTGTAATTACAAAAGCATTTACAAAGATATTCTTCCTTTTTTTTCTACGTACGAAGACAAGGTAATAAAGTTCGAACGAAAGGAAACTTCGATTTCTTCTTTCTCCATTGAAGACCCTCCAAGAAGAGAGACAGGAACGTGTCTGTGTAGTCCGATAATCTGGCCACTGTTAACACTCTCCGGCGGCTGAGTTTCAGTGGAAGCTCGAAACACGCTCGAGGATAAAAGGTGGAAGGCATGTTTGTACAGGTTTCACCGGCAGCCTTGCCACGAAAATCCCTGAAACGGAATTTCGCGCCGATAAATAACAAGAGAGTTCACCGACAATACCGGCTCGAATCGTTTGGTACCACATGCCACTTGCTTCTCCGGCAATTTAAATAAATTAACGGAGAGCAACAGCGAAATCGAGGGCCAGCGCGTTCTTCGTGCGAGCAGTTGAAGTAGAAGAAGAAACAGAAGGTGGAAGAGGAGGAGGAGGAGAAGAGGACGAAGAGGAGCAACGAAGAAGAAGAGCGTACGCATCGATTGTAAGACCTGGAACACCCACGCGTGCTCGCGATGCCTTTGCAAATTTTTTTCCTCTGCTCTCGGATAATTACAGCTAATGGCAGTCATCGAGAATGCCAGACGCGCACTCGCATCGATACTCGACGCTACTCGACGATAACACGCGTACCCCAAGCTACATACCTCGATATTTAATTTATTGGCTGAATCGTTAAGTAGTCGAGGCATTATCGATCGCACGAGATAGGATAGCATCGGTATACGGAAGATCCATGCTAGGAAGACGAAGAGGCACGATTGGTCAGGGATTTTCCGACGTCTGCAGACGAGAGATTTATTTTCTTGCCTCTCGCTGCATATTCTCTAGCGATGCACCATTTTGTTCTACGTGACGTTAGGTAGGTGTTTGTTTGTGTGCGGGTACCCGAAAATTTGAGTATCGGTCAGCCTGGAAACCCGAAATTACGGGTACCCAAATAAATTTATGCGTTGGACAAACTTTGAACCCGAAAAAATTCTCAACCTGACTTCTACTCGAATTTTCAATTACTCGCGCATCCCTGTTTGAAACGTATTGCGACGTGACATTCTTTAAACAATTGCGTAGATACAGGCCGAGTTTTCTCTCGCAAGTGTCACAGCGACAAGTGGTTTCTCTTCTTTCGCCTAGTATTTTATGATTGAAAGTTGCCTGACAAACAGATCTTCAGATAAGTATCATTTTTTATAAGAAATTTCTAACACGGACACGAAATATCTACCGTAACATTTCGACGTTTCGTAATCAAGAAAGACACTATTTTATCGTGACTCCATAAGAATACTGAATCGTGTTGCAACCGCATTTCTTTATACATAAAAAGGAAAAAGAATAGAGAGCTGGGTCTGTTGTGCAGCGTTTATCGGCGCATCGAATCTCGATCGCGTAACATCGAACAATCTCTGGTTCTAGTTCTCAAACCCAGTCTCGTATCCATGAGATACGATAAATACATTTAACACATTGACGATCGATTTCACGTATTCGTGACTTCTCGTACGAATTATTAATTCTCGGATAAGGAAGGAAAGAAAGTCGATGCGCGGTTGTTAGAGGTTCGGTGAGTGTGGGTCACGACTGCCCCGGCCACCGCCCTTGGAAGGTTAATTATTCGCGGTGCGGGCGCTCGGAGAGGCAATTTGCGGCGTTCGCCGTGCACCGAATCCTTTCTGCACTGAATCATAGAAAACGTGTAGCAAGAGAGATCGGTGTGCATGAGTCAGCCCTGTCATCTCTGGCATCGTTGGGCAAAGAAATCACGCTGCTTTTCTTGCGCATTCCCACGATAGATCGGTGTCGCAATCGCGACAATGCGAGAGAGCCGATTGCACACGTGGGGAATCGAATCGCAATTACACGGCCTCCAGTCGTCGTCGTTGTTCTTCTTGCACGATACTTTCGTGAAAAGCTACCCTGCGATCGGCCGAACGATAAATCGTTCCCGTTCGTTGATGAACGACTTCGATGCTCGCGGCTCGATCAATGAGCGGAATTAAATAAATGGACCGAAGGGTTGAAGGAACTAGGAGGGCGAATTGAAAATGAGCATCCTATCGGACATTTGGGAAAACGAGTCAATCGGGTGAGAGGTAGTGGCATAACTCGGGGCGACACGGTACTCGTTGGATAGCTGAGTCTCCCCTTTGGTCCGGGTTTTACCGAAAGGCGAGAAAGAGGAGTGAAGAAGGGAAAGAAGAAGGTGGCGAACAGGGAGGAGAGGGGGGAGGGAGGGAGGGTTCGATGGTGGGAGTAATGCAGGAGCAAAAGGCAGAAAACACCGGTAGGCAGTTTTGTAGCTGTTTTTATCAGCTTCTGGGCATCGGGGGTTCAGGCCCGACGATGCCAGGACGCATCTTGGGGGGTTCGTGTGGGAACGTACGTCTCTTTAGCGTACCTCTCCCTCTCCCTCTGCTCCTTTTTTATCCTCCTCTCTTCTCCATCTATCCTTTTCTCGCTTATCGAACGGCTCGAGCTTCCCTGCTTGGACTTCCTTTTTCCTCCGTTCGCCAGCTCGGCGACTTGTTTCTCTCCCGTTCGTCTTTCCTCCCCCTTCTTTCTTCTTCGGCCTCCTCTTCATCGTACGGCTGCCTTCGGGTACCGAGGGTCATCGAGGTCACCCTCCACGGTGCACTCGGCTACGTGGTGTGCCCTATATTTACGCACGGTAAGAGCACCCTGAAGAGGAGGTGGTCGATTCTCTTTGTCTCTTTCTCTTTCTTCGATCCTTTCCCTCGCTCTCTTCTTCTTCTCCTTCTGCTGCTGCTGCTGTTGTTGTTTCTTATTCTTCTTCTTCTTCTTCTTCTTCTTCCTTCTCTTCTACCTTTTTCTCCAACCCCTACTCAGCTTGCTCTTCAATAAGCGCCGATCGCCTTAAGATCGACTCACAACATTGATCTCGATCGATTTTTTCGCGTGTTTTTTCAAGAAATCTCTGTTTAAAATTGTAACCAGTATTAAGCCTTAGAGCGAGCATTGAAATTTTTAAAGAGACTCCTATAAAACATGGCGGTCGTTAAACAGTCAAAGAGTATTAATTTGTATGATAAACCGTCGATAGACGGAGCGTACTGCTAAAGGTTGCGACAGTACTTTTCAAAGGTTACGATACGAATTGCAATGCCGTGTCGTAACCTTTCGCGAACCGCAATGAACGTCGTGAACATACCAGATAATAGCTGGTATTATCGTTTCAAATGTAATTACCTTTTTCCCCAGTGTCCACGCCTGTGTCGTGTAATTTTTCAACTCCTTCGTGTTCGATGTTTCATCGAACGAATAATAAAGGTTGCTTGTATTCGTGATCGCGCGCAGGTGCGAAAGTAATAAAGTTCGAAGGCGTAAGGCCGATTTCCGTGGAACGCTTTCCGTTTCCGGCGGCCAACGTCGCGAAGCGAAAAAGCAACGTCGAAACACGTAAGCGCCTAATGAACCGCGCGAAACGCGAATCGTTGGCCGTAACAAGCGACCGCCTTGTTAATTAGCTGCTTGAGCGAAACATAGTTGCAATACTATCTTATACCCAAGGGATAAGTCGTTGAGCGTCGGCTATTAAAACCAACTGAAAAAGAAGATATAACGCCGAGACGACGGTGAAAGGGAATAAGCTACGTCTTTTGTGTCGAACGTTTACAGGTGCTGGCAAAAACGATGGCGAGGCTGACTTACGGGACGATTAGTTTATCGCGGGTTAGTTAGTTCGTGCTGGATTAGACAGACGGAAGTTTATTGCCGCTTTTAATGTCGCTTTCGCGGGATTATCGATGCGGTGAACCAATAAGGGTGGTTAATTTTTATTGCTCGTAAACGTAGTTGCCTCAGTAGTATGATTAATAGTTATGGAACACTGTGGTTTTTTCACTGCCTTTTTCATAATGTTTATCTGATAATAAAATAAATAGGAAATTTTTAGGCATTGACGATGTTTAGGATCAAAATATTGTATCAGCATTATATTTAAAACGTTTAAGTATATGAGAGAGCATGCAAGTCATCAGATATAATAGCTGTGTTTTTCACAATTCGTTCCTTTCTCTAAATTATGTTGTCAACGGTGTCCTCGATGAAAATTATTTATCGAGTATACACGATCATGAATCGTTTCAATTCAATGATTTATTGATGTATAGTACCGAGCATGGTAGACTTCCCCAGGGATAAAAGGTAATGCCTCCCACCTCCATAAGTTTCCCCGAACTTCCACCCTATCCAATGAGTGGCCACGAGAAGAGTGAACGATTTCGTTTCTAAATCACTCCGAATATTAATATCGTCAAAATTAAGTTTTTCTGAAGTCTACTTTTCTTAGTGCTGTACAATTTATCTTAGGCGATAAGGTTTTATATCAGCGCCTACTTTTTCATAACTTACGTTCTCACGGATCGCCGCATAAACTATCCTCTACCGAAGTTAATTAAATTCTTTACGATGAAACAAATGCGTTTTATCGCGCGCATCGAACAGTCGGACGCAAAGAAATAATCGACGATCTCGAAGGAATTATTAAGATCGCGGACATATTTATGAAGAAGAAGTAGGGGATGTTGGACGATCTTTAGCCAGGGATCGCAGTTGTAATTTCTCAAGTTCTTTCGCGGTGGACGGGTGTGTACGGGGCCTAAGGATGCTCCAGGAGACCTCATGCAAGATACCACGGGGTGGTCGCAATACGCGAACATTACGAAGATGCGGGACGATGAAAAATCTCTGGTATCTCAAGCCAAGATCCCTCGAACAATGGGATATCTT